TAGTTAAAATTCTTTGATTTTGCAATTTACCACAGAAATCTCACCAATGATGGCACTTCAAGTATTCTTTCCTTGGAACTGTTCTGCTCCATCAATCTTTTTTCGCACTTCTCGTTGAGAAAAGATGATTTATCTCTAACACGGCGCATTACTCGGAGATTGAGAAAGTGAGACCGTTTGAAACTGTGACACTCTAGCTATTGTAATGCGCGATGTAGTCTTGGTCACCGAAGTTCTCCAATATTTTTAAGAAATTTTTTCTTTTTTTCGATCATCAAATAAAACACCATTAGAGACTTTGACAAGTAGCCAATTCCAAAATATTGACGTATAGCTGATTCTATTCTTAATGAAAGTGTCTTAATTTCCATACCGATGTTTTACCACTTTGACGAGGATAATCATTCTTTTTCTTGCATATTTTATTTCATACAGCTGCCAGATGACTTTCTAGTCGTCCCAACTGTTGTGTTTTATCTTTACAAAACCGCGCAACTGCTGTCACGTAATAAACAAAGTTGCTGGCTCTATAGATTAGTTGCTGGTTGATTAGAGGGAGAAAGGGGGGGGGGGGCGTAGAAGAATTTTGAGGGAACCTTTGGGCACAGTACAGCGCTCAGGAGTTGGTATCACTGTTGCCATGCTTTCCTGAAAACTACTCTCCCTTCACTCTCTTCCATCTAACCTTCTCTGTGGAGAATTCGGCGAGGATTTATGGTTTTTATCATATGTTGAGAACTTTGATGTTTTTTACGTTATTCCTTTGTTACCTGATTTATAGTAATAGCTAAGAAGAAGTATCTAGAAATTACTGGACCATCAATGAATGAATGTGATTGAGAAAAAAATGCAAATACCAGGACTTTCCAGGCTCTCTTCAAAGGCAGCGTCCACCCAAAGTTTTGTCTCCCATGTTTGTGCCATTCTGCGGCCTTTCCGTGCTGAATACAGTTATGAAGTTCAAATAGTCCAAAACCCCCAAAAACTCCGATTTCTGTGAACCCTGTCATGAGGGAGCGGACGGCTTTACATGAGTGGGCGGAGTCTGATAGGACCTGGGCGGGGCCTGATAGCACTTTGGCTGTTCCAGGCCCCTTATCTCCATTCAGAAACAACATTAGAGGACCGGATAACGCAGATGCCTCTCTCGTGGGGCCTACATTCAGGATCGACACTAATTGGGGGGGGGGGGGGGTAGATTTAGCCTGGACACTGCCTTCAAACAAAACATTGCGTTTCCCTTATCATTTCCTGTTTTTGTCATTTGGCATACGATTTATAACCACGATTTGGCTGTTTAACACCTTGGAAAATGTTCTCACTTAGTTTTTCTATGGTACATTTTTTGTATGGTACATTCGATCGATCAAACCTGCAGCCCTATCATTTTCGTCTTTGTCTTTGCGCTCTTGTTTCAGTTGTAATCACATCTGATTAGCATTGTAGTAAAGTGATGGTGTACTATACTTTTGATGGGAAATTTTTTTAGAAAACCGTGCAGTAGGATTTTGCACATGTGTAGAACATTAGTTACATCAGCTGGAATTGACCAAAGGAGAAAAAATACAGGGTGTCCCAAAAAAATGTTTAGAACGTTTGATCGTTAATATCTCTCTTCTCAAGAAGTCTTTTGCCTGCTTCAGGTACCGTTTTGTAGAGCTGGCTTCAACTTAGATTTCCATTATAGAACGAATCACCCATCTCTCTTCATTACTGTAGGATTACGGTAGAAACTTGAAACATATGGTGACAATGTGGAAAAAGTTGCCGTTTCAAAGTTTTTCAGAAAAATGTGAAAACTTGTGTATTGGGGTTTTCATGGACGCTGAGTTCAATACTCAACTATTCACAAGATTACGAAGCTTTCTAAACGGTAATCGCACTTTTTAGGAACATTGAAAAAAAAAGCCGCTACCTCTCACCTGGCATAACTCTTCAATGAAGCATCATAATAAGTTGGGAACTTTACAGTTATAATCAGCAATTCTAATTAGCCTGGTGTAAAAGTTTTCAGGCTGTTTTGTTTCCTTTCTGAGGCAAAATATGGCCTTTCATGGTTCAAAACCCTCTTTGAAGTTTCTACCGTAACCCTACAGTAATGAAAAGCGACCAGTGATTCGCTCCATACTGTAAATCTAAGTTGAAGCCAGCTCTACAAAACGGTACCTGAAGTAAGGCAAAAGACTTCTTGGGAAGAGAGATATTAACGATCAAACGTTCTAAACATTTTTTGGGACACCCTGTATTGTTTTTTCTGTACTTTCAATGCATAAGTTGACCTTTGTGTTCTCTCCAAAGATTAAGAAAAAGGTTTAGAAAATTGTGGAATAGATTTTGCAACATTACAACTTCTTCGCTTTAGGAGGGCAGCGCAGCAATCTATGTTTTACTTACGTGGTCTCTGATTTCAAAAATCGCGCTGAATTTATGGATCCATTTTCACCCGTAATTCTCAAACTGCAACAAGTTGAACCTAAGTTTGAGTGGTCTAGCTGTGATTCATACTATTCCCCAGTTGATAAAAATTCGAACTTTTTTGGATTCTCTGCTTTATTTGGCATAATTTTTGAGATTCTCTGCTCGTGATACTATCTCAAAAACCTAGTAATGCTTTTTATTGAGCTATACATCTTAAGAATGCGGTCAGTGCTGTGCGAGGATTTTCGAGGCATATGGTTTTCCTCATAAATATAATGAACTACTTGCTATGAAATATTACAAACAAATGTTCACTTTGTTGAGCTCCGCTAGCCTGCTACAGACTATCGAGCCTTCTAGAAAATCTCGCTGAAAACCGTTATTTCGAGCTCAGTATATAGTGTAAAGACTTCATATCACTTTTTTACTTTACTTAACGCAAAATCGCAAGTCTTTCTTTTTTTTAGTTTGAACCAACGCACAAGCTTGAATTCTTGGTGCACGTTTCGTGCCCTACATTTCTTCATGAAACCATTCACCAAATATAGGTTGCTTGCTTAGTTGGAAAATTTATCTTAGTTTGACTTACCAGAAATTGCTGTTCAATGCTGTCCCATATAATCATTCTAGCATAAATTATTTCTGTTCTTTTGCACGATGCTACCCTGCGCTTTGATAAAACTTCTCCGCTGAACTAAATGTGACAGGAATCCATTTCTTGTGAAAAGATATTTTTCCTTGATGTGATTGGCCCCATCGATGAATTTTTTTCAACAAGAATGCGATCATAAGCTAGTAGTCAGACACTTTGGTTTCAAAACTTTTTGTCTTATCCAAAGCTACCAAGTTTTAGCCTTTTCATATAAAATTCACTCAATCTGAAGTTCTTAACCCCACTTGTTACATGATTGGGCGGGGCTCATCACTAGAAGGAGGCTGCCCTGAATGGGCGGAGCTTGCATCGAGGGTTTGACGAGTGATTTTGCAAACTTTATCTTAACCAGATGTGATTCTAAATGTATACTAACGATAATTAGCATCGACAAGCACCTTCTCCTCTATTCAGCGTGTTTAGCACAGAAAGTATTAGGTTGTCCCGAAAGTTCGTTCGCACCATTTTCAAAAAATCGTAACTTCTTTGCCTCATAACGATTTTGCGCAGTTTAAATTTTATCAGAAAGCGTAAGGCATGTAGTTTCCAAAAGCTCCCTGGGGAGCTTTCGACATGCTCGTATGGCAGAGATAAAGATGAGAGAACGAAAACATCCGAAATTCGGAATTTTTGAGCAAAAATTCTAAAAATCTAGAAACGGCGCGATTAAATCCAGAAAAGCCATTATCCTAATTTCTCTTATATTTGATTACTAACTGAGTTAAATTTGGGCTGATCGAGCTTTTCTTTCAAAAGTTATGATTTTTTGAAATAAAATGCCGAAAAATCAATTTCGAAGTAATTCTTAGGAAATTGATTTTCCGGCATTTTATTTCAAAAAATCATAACTTTTGAAAGAAGAGCTCGATCAGCCCAAACTTAACTCAGTTAGTAATCAAATATAAGAGAAATTAGGAAAATGGCTTTTCTGGATTTTATCTCGCAGTTTCTAGATTTCTAGAATTTTTGCTCAAAAATTCGAAATTTCGGATGTTTTCGTTCTTTCATTTTTATCTCTGCCATATGAGCATGTCGAAAGCTCCCCAGGAAGCTTTTGGAAACCACATGTTTTACGCTTTCTAATAAAATTTAGATTGCTTAAAACGGTTGTGATGCAAAGAAGTTATGATTTTTTGAAAATGGTGCGAACGAACTTTCGGGACAACCTAATAAAACTCATAAATCCTTGGTTTTTTCCTTACAAGTCTTGTAAGATGCTGCTTTTTTGGAGGATTCCTTCAGACTTTTTGAGTGTTGTGCTTCATCAATTTTTTTGTTCTGTGATGAGAAGAAATGATCTATCGTTGACATGATGCTACGCTCCAGCAGAATTGTAACAGTGAAACCGTGCAAAATTGTGAGAGTCACTTTTGCAATCTGTACTCTCGCTGTTCAGTCATAGCAAAGCTCCAAATTTGCGAACTTTTTCTTTATTTTCATTGTTCATTAAACTACACATGCGTTCGAATTTGCCTCATGTTCTTTTTAGATTTTCGTCATTTTTGCGGCTCTAAAGTTGCCCGCGTGCCGAAGCTGTGCCAGCGCCCTGCCAGAACCCGCGTACAGCACCTCGTATGGATCGATCGGCGTTCCGGCACGACGCTAGCCCGACGGTGGTACTTCGTTGGAACGCGCTGGTAGGAATAGCACCAAACGTAGCTTTCTTACCTCTGCGTTCTTCATGCGATACTATAGGTCTCACTTTTGTCAGCGTACCATTATGCTCAATGGGCTTTCTTTTTCCGACGTCTCGGCCCCTCATCTGCCCCAAATTATGCATCATAGCACATCACTGCTCGTACCAGTTGTCCGCGCAGAGTCCCCACTCATGCACCTTCTTTGTTATTTCAAAAATTCTCTTGGAAATCCCTCATTCTTTTTCTCGCTCGTGCTTTTCACCTCATAACGCAAAATTAGCTTATCCTGTCTCAGTTAAGGGTAGTGAAACTTTCAACCATCAGCCATGATGATCGAGACGTTCATCGGAATGGCGCGGTATCTGTCACCGCGCCATGATGATGACTGGAGTGACAGACTGCATTACTTGGTGACACCGAACATTCTGCTAGCATTCTCAGTGCTGATTTCATGGAAACAATTCGGTGGCCGACCCATTGAATGCATGTTTCCAAACAAATTTCCCGGTAGTTGGGAACAGGTTAGTCTTCAGTGGTATCTCATGTCATAACGATTCAATTCGGAAAGAAAAGAAGGGGAAGTCATGGAGCTGAAAGAAACTAAAACAGGGATAACCTACAGATGAATATAGATGAATGTAGATGAATTAGATATAAGGTAGTCATTCATATTATGCAAAAAAGGAAGTTTGTCTCGTAATCGTAAAAGCCACAAAAGCAGTTCTCAGCGAAAACGAGAAAGTTCAGCGCCCGATAAAATTACTGGATTTTTTGTGAAAAATTATTAAATTGAGTGCGCGGAATGCACACTCCCTCTATAAGTGCGGTTGCAAGTCGACGTTCAAGCTAAAAGACAATGCATGCGAAGGAGACGCAGACGGCTAAAACCGTGCACGATTCGCAGTTGCTGCATTGTCTGCGTCCGCAACTTGACGATAGATGTTACTCTGAACCTGTGCTATGTTATTTTTATTTTAATCAAAAGAACAACAGCACGTTGTGACAAAAATAATGTTCTCGCTCTTTCTGTTGTTTTGCCTTTATCATTCGCTGCGGACAATACTGAATAATTTATAAAATAACAATGAACCAGCGGCTAATTAACCATAAAAGGAGCCGAGGACGGAGGGAGGAGAAATTCATATTTGAAGTGAGAGAAGAGGGGAATTATAGGGCGCGTGGAAAAAGTGTCAGAACTAGAAGAGATTTTAAATATGATATTATGGAATCCATAGTGATTTTGAATCTTGATTTTTTCTCCAAAAATATCACCTTTTCTTCGATAAGATAGAATAACTAGTTGCAAGTGACTAATCAGCTATGATTTTCACTCAATTATGGTTTCCAGTATGCTGAGAACTATTGCTGGTCCCAAGATACCTACTTCGTGGAGCCGAAGCAGCATGTTGAACTCATTAAGCCTGATCAGAGGTAAGCTTGAAGCAAAATATGAATTGATGTCTTTAATTATGAAGAGAATTTCTCCAAATTGGGGAACTAGATTATAGTGCTTCGTAGCATTAGAAGCACTTTACTAAACGTAACGAACGCTCAAACGCTGTAGAGATTGAGGTTTTTTACGCTTTCGCTCAAATAGAGCAAAATAATTGGAAAATGTCATGGGTTGCCCTTGTGCTGAAGCCGTGCTAGTGTAATGTCAGAAAAGGACGTGTAGAGCCTTGTATTGATCGAACAAGGTTTTAGCACAAGCTAGCACAACGCTAGAACGGCGCTGGCACGGCGTTGGCACAGGCGACTTTGGACGTAGCCTAATGAAGCAGATGTCGCTGTCGGAAGATTTTTGTTTTCAACGAGAAACACCTCTTCTTGCAGATACACCCCTGAGCGAGAACTATCCTACTACCAATGGGTACCTTTCTTCTTATTACTTCAAGCGGCGCTATTTCGCGCACCAAGCTATATATGGAGGTCTTTTTCAAATCATTCTGGTGAGCTGTATCCTTGTTCATACACAACGCTCATTATGTCCGTGTTACAGGGATCAGAATGCATGAAGTCGTGGAGAAAGCAAAAGACTCCGCAAATTTAGAAGAAGAAGTTCGCCGCAAAAATATCACAGTACTGGCCAAGCATCTTCAATGTGCTCTACGGTTTCATAGGCGGATGGAGAAGAGGCGGGTGCGTTTGAGCTGTTTGAGCTTTCTATTGTTCAAACCAGTCCGTTACATACATATGCCAGTACCATACCTCGATAAGCTTTCGAATTATCGAATTCGAAATTCAAAAATTGATGGCAACCCAATTTTTAGATTATGGTACACAAGACGATAACGTGCTTGAATTATCAGTACTCGTCAGGGTTTGTCTCTGCGGTTTATCTTGTCACTAAAGCACTCTATCTTATCAACGTCGTAATGCAGCTATGGTTTATGAATACGTTAGTACCCTGAGATTTCCAGCACTAACATTATCTCCACAATGCTAATTTTCTCAGATTTCTGGGCACCAACCGACATCAATGGTATGGACTTGGAGTCATTCAAGACATCATACATGGTGTAGAATGGGAGACAAGTGGCTACTTCCCACGTGCCGCAATTTGTGATTTTGAGGTAAAGTCTGGCAAAATTGGAAAAGAATTCACACTTTTCTTTTCAGGTCCGACAAGTAGCCAATATTCAAAAATACTCAGTACAGTGCGTTCTTGTCATTAACATCTTTAACGAGAAGATCTTCGTAATTTTGTGGTTCTGGTAAGAATTTCGGAAAAGTCGCCATCCCCACATCGCCCAATTATGATTTTAGGTACTTGATACTGTTCATTTCGGCTGCATTTACATTTGTTACTTGGTTCTTCCTACTTATCTTCCCATGCTTCTCTCGATGGTTCGTTGAGCAGCATCTTGAGCTAGGCAATCTCGATCTGTATGAACCACCACGTAAGCAATTTTATTTTTGAACTAAAACGAAGTTGTTCTTTCATTTCAGAGTCTTCATCTAATGTAAGAAAATTCGTATATGAGTATCTACATCGCGATGGAGTGTTTGTCCTACGAATGGTTTCTTCCCATGCCGGTGTCATTTTTGGAACAGATCTCATTGTAGAGCTGTACAGGACTTTTTATGGTCTGGAGAAAAAGGTGAGCAGGAAATTATCAAAGAAATTATTAGGAAACCGTAGTAAACACACCCAAGTCCGAGAAAGAAAGCTGATTCTCTGGGAAAGGGGGGGGGGTGGAAGAATGAAAATGAAAATGACAGAATGAAAATCATAGAGGGCAAGAAGATACTATGTAGTTTTCTTGTGGCTTAAATCGCTAAATTTACAAAGTTAGAAAGTCGATAGTCAGCCTTGTTGGTTGTAAACACTACGAGTTCCGTAGCATCAATAATGATAAAGGATTTCGTTTTCAAAATCACCAGACTCCATTTCGTCCTGACCTTAGAGAGAATATAAGAATTCACAAAACTTTCCCTGGAACTTCTTAAGATGGAACGAAGGTTTATAAACCCTTATAGGCAGTGTCCCGGCAGATTTTGCACCTCCACCTTTTTGCATGTTTTAAGCCTTTTCGCCACGTAGAATCCGGATTTGAGCTTTGAATGGGCTGAAAAGGCCGATTTTGGGGCGTTTTCCTAATTCCAGAAAAGCAGCTTGGACGAGATTTTTAAAGGAAAGTGGGGGGAGGTCCTCAGACGAAGATCCTGCCGCCTGTAATTCTTGCTTTGGATAGCATGCATCATGGGGGAGAGCGCTCGTGGGGTCCCGCGCCGAACAGGCGGGGAAGGCCGTCCAAGCGCGCGCCAGTTGGGGTTGCGCGCGCCGGTTCAAAGGCCATTTTCTCGGCCCAGGGTGAACATCACCCAGCCGGAGTGCGCCTGGAGGTCGATGGGGTGACCAAGAACCCCACCACACGTATATCCCCCAGGACCCGAATCTGCCGGGACACTGCCTTTATTGTTGTGAGTACTCAAGGGAAATATTATGCAAGAAACAGTGTATAGCTTGTAAATTGCTAAAAATGTTAACAAAGTGCCGGCTTTCCAGTATGAATTTTCAAAGTGCTATGACTATGTTACTCACCTTCAAATGTTGTTATGTAGAATAATCATAACTTCATATAATTCATATAAGCTATGTAACACTTGCGTTACTGCATGAAACTTCCTTTCAAGTCTAAACTACTCAAAATAAAGTGTGTTGCTGTGTACAGCGTTGATACAAATGGTGGACTTACTGATTGTACTACCCCCCCCCCCCCTCCCTTTTGCTACCTGTAAGTACAAAAAAGTTCGAGCTATATCCCGCAATTGGAGTTTGGAAAAAAGTCGAATTTGATACGTTTTTTCTAAGCGATTGACGAATTTGTGAAAGATTAAGTCAACATACATGCACATGCATGGCTCCATTAAAACAAGCAGAGCCCCACACTAGAAAAATTCGCATCAAATAGTTTAGCTGTATTTTTTGACACCTGTACTTCCATAATTTTAGGTAACACCCGCACCAAACTACGACGAATCATTGCAAAGCGAGCTGAAGAATGCGACTTCGGTGCGAAACAGAAAGAAACAAAACCTGATGTCGCTACTTGAAGGAGTGGACGTCACGACGGCGCTCATGCCGAATGCTCCAGATGATGACGATAAGAAGAGCGCCGCTTCAAGTTCAGTTGAGGAAAGAGTGTAATTATATGTTCTATTCTGCGTTATATATAGTTTATCGCCCACTCGTGGTGACAATGATTGCGGTCGTTACGCGAGCTTTTACAAAAAAAATCGATAATTGAGTGCTAGTGCACGACTTGTAGGCGTATGGGAGGCCTCGCCACAGTGACCGCAAGCGCGACGTTGTCACAGTGAGGGATCAATTATAAAGTGTGTTTTCACTTGTCGCTGAGCTTTAATTATTGTGAAAACGTTTTCACTTTTCATACGGCTGCTTTCAGAGCACTTTGGTCTAGTTTCTTTCTCCTTTGTAGTAGTCAAAGTGCTTTCATCTATTGTAACATGACAATTTTGTAACTCCTGCATAATTCCGGTCAAAGCGTGCACACACGGATACGTTCACAGTATCATAGCACGCTTTTATAGGTGACCATATTTTGTATAGCGCAAAATATCCTCGAATACGTTCATGACTTATAATTACTACTTAACCCCCCCCCCCTTTAATCGTCCCTATTAACATCTTATAACTAGTTTTTCCTATCCCATCTTCGCTACTGAAATTTTATCTTGTTATGCTTTCTAGGAAGCAATAATCGAGTCATTCCTCCATTTATCGCACATAATCTGTTGTCACTTAAACTGTTAGTCATTGACTTTGCTATAGCAGTCACTAAATCTGTGCCTTATCGATTTGTTACTGGTCTCCAAAGCCTTTGTCAGATATTTCAGAATTTGCTACCGTTGTTGTTGATTACATGAAGTTTTCTCGCAGCACGTGGAATTTCATGAAGAAAGATAGATCGAGCACGGATATTCGTCTAGTTTTCAAAACTAGACTATAGAAACCATTAGAAGAAGGGACCTTGCAAGGTCAAGAATCCTGGGACTTTAGTGCAAAAGCACTCCACCAGACCATCGCCATAGCCAAATGCGAAGCCATGGCATCAAAATAAAAGCGAGAAATCGCTTCGGATTTTGGAAACTTACACCCTAGGGGGATGTCCCAACACCGGTGGATTTACTGTTCTACTGTGGAGTGAGCATGCGGCCAAAGTTGAGGCCCTACAGCGACTCTGCCTCTCAGTCTTGTTGAGAACTGTTTTACTCGTCCACATCAGAATTATAAGAATTTGTGAAAAACAGTCCATTTTTTTGCGCTTTCCGCGTTGAATTTTCCAAATGAGCGAAGCGTTTGAGTCCAGGAGCAAAAAAAGCTAGGAATAGAGTTTTGCCCGGACACTCAATTCAGAATAACCAATCTATGCTGAAGACTAAAAGTTTTGCGGGATCCGCAGCCAGGTGGCAGTCTGCCAAGGCGGCATTTCGCAACTTTTGAACCGCGTGCGACGTCTTTCATAATTTCGTTATCAAAGGTTTTGCAACTTTTTATTTTGCTATTTGCTGCTACATCACATCATTCTAGGTCTCAACAGCTGAGGAAACCGATGAAGTCGACAGTTTTACGCAGGATAGTGACGACATAGACAAAGAAGAAACGGAATCGAGCGACAATAGAGTCGAATTCGAAGAACTTCCATGAATACTTCTTTTTTTTAAACTTATTTACTGTTGTTATGCGTATGCAGGCGTTTATGACTGTCATTGATGCTAGGCCATCCTTACTGATAGGCTCTACTCCACTATCCCCTTCCAGTTTTACTAATCCTTTACATTAATTGTAAATAGAATGTTGAATAAATTGTGACATATCTTTACTATGTCAGTCAAATTGAAAAACTCTTCTTTGAGGTGTTGACTTTTGTGTCAAGTGAATCTGTCATCACATTGGATAAAAGGAATTTGCAAAAAGACTATTATCTCCTCAAAGGCAGTGACTTAACACATTGACGACCATGTACATTTTTAGTTGTCTGCCTTCTGGGACAAAAGCCTTTTCCAGACCAGCCCAAATTTTTCAACCATAATCACGCATACTGTCGTCTACAATACACCTATAGCATATCTGGAAGGCTGACAAAAATGGTCCTAGATTTAGCGCAAAGAAAAGCTCATGGAGTGAGTTTTTCCCAGAATAGTAATCATTTTAACAAAATTCAAGTCTTGACACACATGGTGTGTCAAGCGGTCCCACGCGGTAGTCATTGCTTGACACACCTTGTGTGTCAAGCGGTCGTCAATGTGTTAAAGGCAGTGGCTCGGCAAATCTCAACCCAGTCGAATTTGCGCTTACCTGGGGTTATTCAATTCGCTGATACCGAAAATCTCCCTTTGAAACCTTGAAAACGGCGAAAATGAGCGTTTTACAATGCCCTTCCCTTTGGAATTGGACGAGTGGGCAAGGCTGATGGCGTTAAATCGTTGCAGGACCTAATGGTTGTAGCGTTGCGGCGGGCAGCCTCCAATGGTGAGAAGGAAATTACTCGTCCGGATGCGTTAAGATTGGCCTGCGCGTGTAAGCTTGAGAGCAATTTTCTCGGCAGAGAAAACATGCTGTGCAATCGGGATTGCACTGTTTTCATACTTGGGCGATAAGGAACCTACCGCGAAAAAATCTTGAGTTGTTGGATTTTGCCGATCTACTGCCTTTAAAAGAATTGCAACATGAGCTTGCCATCCCTCCTTGACCTTCTGGATGCGCTGAGCCCAAAAGTGTTGTTCTTGGAAAGTCGAAAAATCTTTTTGTGGTGTTTTCTGGCTTTGGAGAGTTCTGGAGGGGCTCGAGGAAAATTCTCGCCATCTGAGACTTATGCCTAAGCCAATCAGCCATTGGCCGCCAAAATGGTTGGAATGGCTTTACCCTTACAGTCTTCCGCAACCTCTCAGTGTTTCTCGCGTGAACTTCTGCTCCAGGCTCTCAGCAATCTCCAAGGTCTGAAAACACCATAAAAAGCTCTTTTTTGACTTTCTAAGCACAATCCTGGTCTCAGCGTATCCATAAGGCCAGTAATTGTGGAAGACTCGCAATCGCAATTATTCCGAGACACTGCCTTTAACCAGGATGTCAAATAACCACAATGCACCAGTTGAGCGAAATCCGAGTGATTTTCTAACATGAAGCTACTTGAGTAAATTGAGTACTTTTACACTGCTTGATTTTGTTTCAAATGTGAATGATCCACACCTTAGGCCCATATGCACGCAAATTCCGACGGAGGAGGGAAGGCGTTTTGAGGAGGTACGCATCATATTTCGCTGCTCTGGATATCTGTACTATTCTCAAAGTCGAGCAAGAGGTGTGGCACACAACCGCCGAATATGATCCTCCCCGAACTTCTGTCTCAACCTCCCCCCCCCCTCCCTAGGCGTTATCGTTTGCCTACCTCAGGCACGTGTAAAAGTCCTATCAAGCATAATGGGTAGCATTTCGCAATTATCATGCCAAGTAACCACATGTGGATCAAGTTTTATCGAAATCTGAGAGTTTCCAATGTTTGGCCACTCAAGTGAAGTGGCCATTTTCAAACATGGTTGACTATATTTTGAGCATGAATCAGCTACCATTTTTTGCACTCAGTACAAAGCACCGCTCCCTATTTGCCCTTTCAGGAATTCTGCTTAAAGGCAGTGGCTCGGCAAATCTCAGCTTAGTGAAATTTTTGCTTACCTGGGGTTATTCAATACGCTGATCCCGAAAATGCACTTTTTGAGAGCTTGAACGGCGAAAACGGGCGTTTTTCAATGCTCTTCTTTTTGAAATTGGACGAGTTTAGCAAGACTGATGACGCTGAATCGTTGCAGGACCCAATGGTTATAGCATTGCGGCTGGCAGCCTCCAATGGTAAGGAGGAATTTGCCAACTCGTCCGGATGCGTGTAAGATTAGTCTGCGTGTGTATGTTTGAAAGCAATTTTCTCAGCAGGGAAGGCATGCTGTGCAACCGGGACTGCACTCTTTCCAAACTTGGGCGATAAGGAACCCACCGCGTTGAAATCCTGAGTTGTTGAGTTTTGGCGACCCACTGCCTTTAAATAATCATCAGTTGTGGAAATAGGAGCTCAATATCTCATTTGTTCCGTTTTTGCTCACAGTGGTTGTGTTTATTCAGCACCAATTACTCACATAAAGACTACGGGGTTTTGGCTACCAAAATATACAGGGTGTTCCAAAGCATGTATACACTGTTTGCGTTGATATCTCTTTTCCCAAGAAGTCTTTTGCTTACCTCTAAGCACTGTTTTATAGAGTTGGTTTCAACCTAGGTTAACAGTATGGAGCAAATCACGGATCATTATTCACTACTGTAATATTACGGTAGGAACTTTCAACTTATAGCGTCATTACGGGCTTACCGTATTTCAAAAAACTTCCCAAAAAATCTGAAAAGTGATGTACTAGAGTTTTCAAGCTCGCTGATTTTATTATTCAACTTTTTACGAGTTTGCAAAGCTTTTAAATGGTGTAATCACGATTTTATGGAGTTCTGTAAAAACAGCTATTGCGGTCTACCTGGCATAACTCATGAAGGAAGCATTGCGGTAAAGTGCGAACATCATATTTGGTTTGAGCGGCTTCAGCTGGCCTAGCGTGAAAGTACTCCGGTTGTTCGGCTCGGTTCCTAAGGCGAATAGGGTCCTTGACGGCTCACAACCCTTCTTGTAATTTCTACTAAAATCCCACAGTAATGAAAACGACAAGCGACCAGTGATTCGCTCTATACTGTAAATCTAAGTTGAAGCCAGCTCTATGAAATTGTGCTTAAAGGTAAGCAAAAGACTTCTTGGGAAAAGAGATATCAACGATCAGACGGTGTATACATACTTTTGGGACACCCTGTATATATATTTACTCCAAAAATTTTCTTAGGAGGTAAGGAACTGGGGTATGGCACAACCCCAAAAAGCTTTGGCTGCCACACCTTTTTAACTCGTTGACGACGAGTCATTTTCTTGAGGTCTGTCCCTGTGGACGAGACGTTTCCGTGCATCCCTGCGCCTGGCCGCATGTATATATGCATGCATCCATGCAAGAATTATAAAATGTGCAAGCTCCGCCCACTCGGCCAAAAATGTCAGAAATTGCGCAGATTTTAAAAATCCACGCCAATTCCGCCACTTTTGAAAATGGGCGGAGCTTGCCACTTAAAGGGCGGAGTTTGGGTGGGCGGGGCCTGGCTAAAAATTGCTTTGGTCCTCAGGTCTTTGCGTTCGTTTACGGCTCATCC